AGTTTTAAGGCTTTATTTCACATTTTAATCAATTTTTCATATAAAAACTTTCCGAAAAATTATTCGGACTGCGCACGCAGGTCGAGGATCTACGAATAGTGTTGTTTGAGGTCTCAGAACACATAAATAATTATTAAATTTAAAGATGACCTTTAGGCCATCACAATTATTCAGAACTTCAAATATTGTTTCTATCAGAAAATGAGTTTGATGGATCGATACATAGTGAAATCGGAAGATTGAGTAACTTGCAGATATTGTTACTCAGATATAACCATTTCAGAGGTATAATACTGCATTATCATATGAATACTAGAAGTATTCTATTTAATTACTTCCACAAAAAATTTATTGCATATGATTTGCAGGGATAATTCCACAAGAAATCGAAAATCTTGTTAATTTAGTGGAGTTAGGCATGGAGGAAAACTAAATAACAGGCTCTCTCCCGATATCCATACTCAATATTTCCTCGATGCAATATTTGTCCCTGCGGAATAACAATCTCATTGGATCCATACCACGAGAAATTGGCAACCTAACCAAGATGCAGGTTCTATATCTTGACAATAATATGTTTACTGGTATGTAATCAAAGTGGTAGCGAAAAGTACAACTTATACTAGATTGAACCAACTAGTTAAACTCACTAGTATTCCTTCTTTCTTTGTATATTGCCAGGTGAAATACCCAAAGAGATAAGAAATCTCATTGAGTTGGCAGACCTTAGTCTTGGATTTAATAATTTTAGTGGTTCACTGGAAATGGAGATCTTCAACATATCAAGGCTGAAATCGATTAATCTAGCATTCAACAACCTATGGGGAACTCTACCATCAAACATAGGTTTTCTCTTACCCAACCTTGAAGATCTTTATTTGAATGGCTTAACCAATCTTGTTCAAAACTTACTATTCTTGAGCTTTCTGACAACAAACTCACTGGCTTGATTCCCAACTATCTTGGATATTTGACTCGTTTACAATTACTAAACTTGCAGCAAAACAATTTAATGAGTGACTCAGCGTTAAGCTTCCTGACTTCCTTAACCAATTGCGAAAATTTGATATATCTTGCTCTATCTTTTAACCCTCTAAATGGTAAACTTCCAGTCTCTATAGGGAACCTTTCCACATCTCTTACAAAGTTTTACGCCAGTACTTGCAAAATCAAATGGCGGATTCCAAATGTAGTTGGGAACTTAAGCAGCTTATTAGACCTTGATCTTTCTATTAATGATTTGGCTGGAGCTATTCCCGCATCAATTCATAACTTGAGAGACCTTCAGCGCTTGGATTTCTATGAAAACAAACTTAGAGGAATTATTTTAGAAAATCTATGTAAAAATTGCAACATTTGGGAGCTATTTATTTGGGTCAAATTCAACTTTCAGGATCGCTTTCTAATTGTTTAGGAAACGTTACTTCCCTTAGGAGGATACTTCTAGGTTCCAATAAATTGAGTTCCAATATACCAGCAAGCTTAGGAAACCTGAAAGATATGATGATTCTTGATTTATCTTCAAACAATATGTGTTTGTTCTTTACCTCCATAAATTGGAAATCTAAAGGCCGCGATACAGATGGATCTGTTAATGAATCAATTTTTAGATGGCATTCCTAAAGAAATTGAAAGCTTGCAAAACTTGATGTACCTTTTTTTGAGACACAACAAGTTGCAAGGATCTATACCTGACTCAATGAGCAACGTGGTAGGTCTGGAATTCCTAAATCCTTCTCATAATAATATATCAGGAACCATTCCAAGGTCTTTTGAAAAATTTCAATACCTGAAGTATTTCAATATCTCTTACAACAAGTTATATGGTAAAATACCCTCTGGGGGTCCTTTCAAGAACCTCTCAAGTCAATTTTTTCTCTTCAACGAAGCATTATGTGGTTCTCCGAGATTTAGTGTCTCGCCATGCCCCATTTCTTCCAAGCATAGGTCAAATAGGAGAAAAACGCTTATATTTCTTCTAGTGGGAACTGCACTATCATTTGTTCCTATCACCTTTGTACTTGTATGGATAAGGTATAGGAAAGGTAAAAGAGCTCCTCAACAAGCTGATTCATTGTCTATAACAACAAGAGGAAGAATTTCATATTATGAACTGCTCCAAGCAACTGATTCGTTTAGCGAGAGCAATCTGATTGGTTCTGGGAGTTTTGGCTCTGTCTACAAAGGCATGCTCAGTAGTGGGACTGCTATTGCAGTTAAAGTATTCAATCTGCAATTGGAAGCGTTCAAGAGTTTTGATACAGAATGTGATGTTTTGCATAACCTCCGTCATAGGAATCTCACAAAAGTCATCACTAGTTGTTCCAACCTTGATTTTAAGGCTTTAGTAATCGAGTACATGCCCAATGGAAGCCTCGATAAGTGGTTGTAATCACACAACTACTTCTTAGACATCATGCAGAGACTGAACATAATGATGGATGTGGCATGTGCATTGGAATATCTCCACCATGAGTGCTCATCACCTGTGATTCACTCCACCGCAATCACAACCTTTGGTTGTGAGTTGTTTAAATTGTTTAGTTGAATTCCGTGAATACAAATAGACAAGTTAAAATATAAATGTTTGACATGGGAAAGACATTTACATGATACAATTGAAAAATAATTAATAAAAATTTCCAACGAGTTATTAGCAGAAATATAACAGCAAGACAACAAACTAATTAATGACAATAGCAAAAAAAACAAAAAACATATCACAGAGAGTTCTTATTGATCAAGACAACCTCTTTCTTGTATCTTGTTTTGTTTGACTATCCAGAAATACAATTCTCTAATTAGAGAGTAAGAGATTGATTTCTTAGATGGGATACAATGTGGATGAATATGGAATTTAAATAGTAAAACTATCTGTAACTGCTACTCCCCTTAATATCTCACCTGCCCGTTATCCCCCATTAACTGTCTTCTCCGAACATTACGCTAAGAATCTGTATCATGGAATTATTAAATCCGGCTTTATTCCCCAGGTAAATGGCACTTCTCTTGTAGTGTATACTTATTATGTATCTTCTCGAGAAATCTTCTGTGCTGCTCATAAATGATTACGATACAAATGATATCGGTATTGATGATTATTGTATAAATGATACCGATGCTAAATAACTCTCAACTCAATCCCGGGCTCATATTTTGTGTGTTCTTCCAATATTATTGATATATATCGAGATTCAGTTAATCCGCATGGAGAGTCAATTTCTTACCATTGTAATACAATCATTAGAAGTTTAATAAGTTGGTCAATGAAATGAATAAAAATCATAGAAAATTAGGTTCAAATCCTAACAAAAGGTGATTTCTTCTCATCCATTGAAATTTTGGTCTCGATATAACTAGTGTATATGATGTTCTAGTAGATATAACACTGCTTTTCACCGCACAGTTGTAGAGAAAATGGAATAAAGGTTTTCTCCGATGAAGTACACTGAAAAGAAAGCAAGACTTGGATGACTTGTAGTCTTGCATAAGTCTTTGGGGGGTCGATTAGATGTTTATAGTTACAGGATCATGTTGATGGAAACGTTTACATGGAAAAGTCCTAATGGTGAAATTTTCAAGGGAAATCTTAGCTTGAAGCAATAGGTGTTCGCTCCCAGAGGCAGTAATAGATGTTGTAGATGCCAACTTGTGAACGCTAACATATAATCACTTAAGGAAGAAGTATCTATAGTACCTTTTAAAATCTCTTATTCTTTTTAGAGAGTTGTGAAGTACCTATTGATGAAGTATTTCTTAAGTTTAGCATTGTATCTATTGATCCTCTTGTTGTCTTAATCCTAGAGAAGAGAAAGTTAATCATGTGTTTGTATCTAGTTGTAATGACCCAAAATGTCATCTTTAATTTAAATATTTATTTCTGTGTTTTGTAACCTTGAAAAGCACTATTCATCATTCCTTGACTTGCGTGCACAGTCCATGTTATTTTTCGGAAAGTTTTTATATTAAAAATTTATTAAAATGAGAAATAGTGCTTTAAAACTTAATTGAGTTGACTTCGGTCAATATTTTGAGCAAACAGACCCGAATCGGTATTTTGACAGTTTTAGTAGGTCCGTATCTTGATTTAGGACTTGGGCGTATGCCCGGAATCGAATTCAGAGGTCCTTAGCTCAAATTATCGCCATTTAACGGAAACTAGAAATCTAAAGGCTAAAGATTTC